AATCAAATGTATAGCTCTTCACCCAAAACACTAGATAGGTTTACATTCATTTTCAATTCAAATATAACAAAAATAACCTCAAGTAGGTTAAAAAACATGAGGAATTCGATGCAAATACTTTCGAGATCCTTAGAAGACTTCCAGAAACTCCTCAGAAGGTTTCTAAAAAACTTTCGCAGAAAACAACATGATTTTTTATCGCACATGTGTGAGAAGTTTATATTTATTACATGCATGTTGCTCACATGTCTGCACATCGCTTTGGCTATTCATATCTCTTTCTTTCTGCTCGTGATTCGCTTCTCCTTTTTGTTTTTCGTTCTGTCTCGTTGCTGTTTCATGTTTTTGTTGGTATTCATTTATGTTAGACAGAGCATAAAGAGGAGTCGGCTACAGAGACCTGTAATAATACTTTTTGTTTCGCAGTTTTTAATTCTTGAATGTTTAGATTTGTCATTTAGTTCTTAATTTTTTTATGTTCTATTATTATGCCTAAACAGTCCAGACGTCGTTCTAAATGTAATTCTCTGAACCAAAGACGTTATTCACAGGAAAGTGTATAAATTCTCACCAACACCACGCGGTTGCGTGGTTTTGTAGTTCACACTGTCTACTATTTATGGGGAAATCTCCAAGGTTAAGTAATCGGTTGTTACTGAATTACAAGAGTTTGAAATTTGCAAATTTTCAAGATGGCGGAATCCACGCTTTTCGGGGCTTTTCCTAAAATTTCAATATCTCAGCAGCGATGCAACTTTTTGATTTCCGCCTGTTACCAAATTCATTAAAATGTTTGTGGGTTAAAAACATGAGGAATTCGATGCAAATACTTCCGAGATCCTTAGAAGATTTCCAGAAACTCCTCAGAAGGGTTCTAAAAACTTTGGCAGAAAACAACATGAGTTTTTCTCACATAACATATTTGTCGGACAGTCAGCATAGATGTGCGTTTATTCGTCTGAAAGGAAAAGGGACATCGTGAAACATTTTAAATGTTCAGTGAGTGTATATCATTACGATTCGAGAGAAATGTGTCTCAAAATATAAAAATGCAAACGTAGAACTGTGTGTGTGCTGGGGGAGGGTCGAGGGAAGGTGGCTGTGAGTATCTATACAACAAGACAAGCGTGCTAATGACATGTGGAAAACAAGAAGAAAGAAAAACGAGCGTGGCTGTACAGGTTTCACGGTTGCTCAAGCCGATCGTCAGCAGCCAAAGAAGGAAATAAGGATTGGTGCAAAAGTTGTCGAATTAAATTTTTGTTTTTGTATATATGAAGAGAGAGAGGGAAAATATGTTGATCTAATAGCCATTGGGAAAAAGGTCTTCCATTCGTGCATTCTTAGACGTTCAATTAAACTTTTTTTCGGCAGTTAACTTGAGACAGAAATATAGTGGAAATAATTTCTTAAAAGTATACTCGTTTACTGAAAAGAAAAACAGCTTGTAATGGAATGACGAAACTCATACATGTTACGTGGTAGAGGTCGTCACTAGGTTACCTCATATAGAATAAAAAGAAATGGACTCTTCATGATCAAAAGTGTACGGCTTCGTATCTGTGAAAGAAGCTAAAAACCAAAAATTGGCAATAACAACAAGAAAACTAGTGTTTATTTTTCTTATACTCTTGCACGTAAATTTTTGGTAATTGACGTTTTTGTCTCGGTAAAGGAAACATATTCAAGGAAGATAGAATTTTCAAAAAAACTTTTTTCAGAATGCAGTTTTTATGAGAATCAAACTGATGAAACAAACCTTTCGAATTATGCAAAAAACGGGAAAAATTTCTTCCGGAACATGACGTCATATTTTTAAGAATATTCTAGAAAACAAAACAGAAGTATTTATATACGGTTGTTTCTGCTATTGTGACTGTCACTTGATGTGTGAAAATAACCATATAAGTCCAGGCATCACTAATAAAATCGGCTAGACTCATCATATAACTCTACCACAAATCGTTGTCCGTTCATTCCAATATGGATGACCTATGTTATTCTTTTATTTGCACATACAAAACGCGATAAAAGTTGAAACAAAATGTCTCGTAAAAAAGCTTTTGGGCAGTATATTCGATGTGGAATTTGCGATAAGGATCGTTTCGAACCAAATAATTATTTTATGCAAATAAACAGCGAAAGCATAGTGAAAAATCTGCAACGTGGCTACAGACATAAATACAAGGTTGAGTCACCTCAAGATTTGCTAAATAGTTGGGTTCATCGGCAATGTTACAACGAGTTGTTAAAAGAATATTCGCTTAGCAAACCAAAACCGTCCAATGCACCATTGTTCTGCATTGATTTGGAGAACGTAATTTAAAAGAACTAATATTTGAAAAAGAATTAGCAGTTTTCTTTTGTATTCTTTAGGAGTTCATCAACACAACACATGTCAATAACGGTGCGGGCAGTTCTAGCTCCCGTAATTGTTTAGAAAGAAGGGTGATGAGAGATATTACAAATGAACCTTGTTCTCATTGTCACTTAAATACGTCAACAGTAAGAGAGAAATACTCTGTATTCTGATTTTATGATTTTTGATCCTTCTTAACAGAGCAAAGACACAAATGCAGAACCGGTTGATCTGAATGTTGCTGATATGGAAACATCTGATCAATATGTTCTATCTGATCAAGTTCACACAACACAATTGAGAGATGAAAATGTGAGCTACTTTGTTTTCATCTATTTCCCATGATTTCCATAAACATTTTCTTCATAACAGGCATCGAATGAAACTTCTTCACGGACAGAATGTTTAGAAATATCGTATGAAGCTTCGCTCACCGGAGCTGACAGTTATTTTGATCGTTTTATGCTCGAAATACATTCAATTCATTTAAAACACAAGAAAGAAGAGAAGGTTTGTTTCCACTGCTCGCTACTACTTATTCCGTGCCTTGTACGATCTTATCAGAGTAAAGCGGCTTTAGAGAAAGGACAAGTCTTTCTCGCTTGCTACTAACTGCTGATGCCTAGAGATGTGCTACAGTTTCTAGTGGTAAGCTTCATTTTTGTAGAATCGACCAAAAATTTCAATTTTGACATCTACTTCGCCAATAATTAGTGATTATGAACTTCCTCTGCGGACAAGCATTTCAGAAACTAATGACGATAATTTTGTAAATGTAAATCAAACGTCGATCGATATTTTATATGAATGGGTGTCCTCTGAATTGTTGACCGGTCACGTATTGTCCTTGAAAAACGTCAAATATTATTATCTACAAATAAAAAAAGAAAAACAAGAATCAGTAACTGAGTATATGTTGCGAACATCAACTGTGAAAACTATACTCAAACAAAAATTTGAAGACGAAATCACATTTTTCGATGAATTATCTCAGTCTGGTACCTATGTTGCATTCAATGACGTTAAATTTTACGCGCTAAAGCTTCTGCAATACCAGCAAAATACTATTACTACATCTGTACTATCTAAACAACATAAGAGTGCACCTAGTATACAAGAGAGTGAAATGTTATTTTCCTCTATTCGTTTACTGAGAGGAACTTTTGACGAAGCATTTGAAAAATTCAATGTATTAAGTCAAAAGCCCGAACAACTGCAGTATTATACGCCAGAAATGTATTGGTCGAATGTTCCATTATTATTAAGAAATATAAGTGAGTGTTTTTTGTAAATGTTCAGCTCATCTGTGTCTTCTAACTCTATTCCTGACTCTTATGATTTGTGATTATTATAGTCGGTCTATTAACTATGAACGAGAAACTATTTAATGAATTTTCATTGCGTTATTCAATGCATAACATCTTCACAAGTGATTTCTTCGAAAACTCACAAAAATGGCAAAAAATCAGCAGTATTGTGTATGATATTCTACATTGTCGAAATCCACATCATCTATCACCAAAACATCTTCTCATCGGGGAACTGTTGGCCAAGCACGACAACTCTCTACAGCTGTTACAGACAATGAACAAACTGGGACATTCATGTTCATATGAATCGTTAATTCGTCTTCATACGCACATCGCCCAAGAAGAATCCACTCTGTATCAGATGCCATCACACTCGCTTCAGAATTGTTTTGCTGTGAAAGCAGTAGATAATTTCGATTATTGTCCAGAAACAATTCATGGAAAGAATAGCATACATATAGTCACACAAATAATCGTGCAAAATCCAACAAATCTCCTCATCCCATCAGCACCTATAGCCACACGCCTCTGCACACTAGATAATAAACTACCACTTACGAAGCGTCCACGTGAAAGAAACTACAATAATCGCTCTCCGCCAAAATTTCCCATTTTGTTGATGAATAGTAGCCAGAAACAACCAACAGCTACTTATTGCCAGTATGAAAAATTCGAAGACAAGACGTTTGGCATTTATTTATTTTGTTATATTTTGGTCAAGCACTCTTCGTTTCAGAAAACAGTCCTAGTTCCGCTGCTGACTGGGTTTTTCTCGAGCTTTCTTCGTCACAAAGAGAAGCCCATTCATTCAATAACTTACTCGTCCCCAATCAACGAAGTACCAACATCAGAAGAAGCCGCATCTGCTATTCTCTCAACAACTCAAGCTCAGTTTATCGATTCAGGCTTTCAGGTCTGTCGGATTTTTAAAAGACATAGTCCTGTCAGCCAGGAATTTAGAAAGAGAGAGATTCCCAGAAAGACATATGTTTAACAACTCAAGAACAGACTGAGGATCTCACAAAAACTGGCACATTTGAGAGAAACAATTAGTTCACATGCTTCTTCTCTGTTTAGACAGAAGCAGTCATTGTAATGGACGAAGGAATTTATCAATCCGTCGTAAAAATGAAGGATAAAAATGGATTTGACAAGATATATCTGATAGGCGGCGATTTCCATGCGTTAAAAAACTACATGGCAATGATTTGGAAAATTCTGGATGGCTCTGGGGTACATGAACTAATCGGAACGTTGTTTCAAGGTGCCACTTTACGATCGGTCATCGAAGCAACGAATTTCAATAAGTCGTTGAGAACAATAAAACTATTGTACACGGCGATGGGAGTAGTATGTGTCAAGCAGTTCTTAACAACAAACGATTTAAATAAGTCTCTTAGTCAAATGCTGAATAAACTCCCAATATCATGTAACACCGATGAATATAAACAGAATTGGCTTTCGCAGTTACTATCTAAAATAGAAGAAAACAACATTGAAACGAGATTTAACGAGTGTTGTACAAAAAAATCTGAAGAAGTTTCAAGTTTCGCTTTCTGGTATTGGGTTTTTCGTATTTTGCTCGAACCTTGTCTTCAATTACTGATAGCGGTGAGAAGCGAAAACTACAAAACCAGAAATGCCTGTTGGAGCTGCATGGTGCCTCTGTTTTTTGCACATAATCGGCGAAGATATGCAAAACTCGGAGCGCGCAATCTCGCAGATCTCCAAACCATGTCTGCATCGCTTCATCACCACTTAGAAAAATCATTTGCAGTAAAAAGAATGGCTCGTCCATTTTCCAGTATTCCTGTCGACCAAGCGTTGGAGTGTTCAATAAATCGGATAGGTAAGGTGATATTAAGTGCAAGTCGACTAAAACACACTGTTTAGAATAACTGCCTTTATTACTTCCACTACTAAAGTAATTTTTTATGCTTTAGGAAAAGGTAGAAACGGAATCAGTGGCCAGTTCAGTAAACAAGGAATAGATCGATTCTGTCAAACCCTAGTATTCCGTACGTTGATTTATTCAGCTATTAATGACATCGTGGAAATTGATACCGATCACAACGATGGCCATCTGGAGTGTCACGAAAATCGACTGAAGACCGATGACACAGATCTCAGACAACTGATAACGAAACTGAGCGATGAAAAAATATTTGGCGACCAAAACCAGAATGTGACCGAGCTATTTACGGGCAAGATAATACACCCTGACATCGTGAACAGTATTGTAACAAGTTATGATCGCGGCGAAAAAGAACTAAAAAAATTCATTCAGGACCGTCTGATTAATAAAACAATCGATATCAATGCCAAGATGCCGAAAATAGAAACGCTGAAGCTAACCGACACGGACGCCTATGGAACGAAAAACCAAAAATCACAGAAAAACCAGTCAATATCTCGAATCGAAAATACGTGACATTGTTGTGTTGAGCACGCAAAATATGGATATAAATATCGTTGAATTTTTAAAATATGAATATGCTCATATACCACCCTCATTGTCCGACCCATCAAATCAATCAAACAAAGGCAAAGTTGTTGAATATTTCAGTCAAAATTATCCCCGAGGTTTTAGTTTCGTTCCATCAAAACAAGAATTAGAGAAGTCCGTCCTGTTGCTTCATGGAGGAATATTGTTACAGCACAAACCAAAACAGAATGATACAGTCGAGTCATATGCAACAAATATGTTGAATAATATCATGAAGATGGCCACGTTACATGAAAGAGTGGACGTATTATTTGACTCAGACAAAAGTAAAAGTTAGTTAACACACTTTTGGTGGCTATTGGTTGATTACTGTTGTATACTAATTTTAGCCACGAAATTGTTCGTAAAACAACATGCAAATAGCAAGAAAAATACGCATCAGTTAGAGATTACCTCAAGACTCGAACATCGGAAGGACGCGTACAAAATCTTTATCAATGAAAATCAAGCAGCCTTAGCTTTGTGCGTGCGAAATGTGTGGTTGAAATTATCGCATTTAGTACCACAAAATAAAATCGTACATATTGCAGGTCCCGATCAATATTGTTATCGTTTAACTTCATTTGGATGCCAATCGGATACCCTACTTCAGTCGAATCAAGTTGAAGTAGATACTCGATTGCTTTTCCATGTGAAGAACGTTGATGCCTTTTGTCACTACCAAACAGTCGTTATTCAGTCATATGATACAAATATACTGATCATGGCATTAGCTTACGCTGCGGATTTCGGTGATTTATTGATATTAATCGACCGAACAATTCTAAGCAACCCCTCTAAACAACAACAACAACAATATGTTAATTGTTCTCTAATGTCTCAGGCATGTTCTTTTAAAAAGCTAACTGAAGTATGCTTTCTATGAGACGAATCGATCTATCATTGCCAATGGAAAAAGACATGTAAAATAGAAAAGAATATAACGCTGAAATATCTTGTAGTTGAAAAAGGGAATGAAAATAAACTCTATTCCAAAAAAAAATTGAGAAAGGTTAAGACTATACTAAAATCGGGCTTTTTCCGTTTAGGCCATAGCGGCTAACACAACTCCCAAAATTCTGTTGACGATCCATGCGTTATCTGGTTGTGACACATCAAGTTCCATCAAAAATATATCAAAGAAAAAGATCCTACAAACATATTTTACGAACGTTCCTTTATACAACGATATGAAGTATTTTGGGATCATTCCACTTCCCGCACCTGCTTTCATTGCTGCAGAAAGATTACTTATAGCTTGTGAGTGATTCGTCTACTACATATTCTTCCGGATCAAAAAGTATTGACTTTTCCTGTCAACGCTTTTCGTTTAGCTTCATTCCACTCTCTATCCCTCAGTTTGCTACGTAACTTTTTATGAATGTTTAAGGCTACGATTGTCAGTCAAACACCTTGGATGAAGCACGAGTTATATGTGCGAAAAAATTCATACAAGGAAAATCAAGTAAATCGTTCCTGGAAAGATTACCTCCTACAAGTGATGGGTTCAGTCAACATCTCATACGCGCAAATGTCCAAATAAATGTTTGGTTCCAAGCATGTGAATCGGATATTGATTATCCAGAGCTGAACAATAATGGATACGAGAAAGTCAATAACGAGCTCGTCATCAAGTGGAAAACGCTTGAAAGTCATCCGAAGTTAACCGGATGTAAATGTAAAACGAACTGTAAAACTTGTCAGTGTAAAAATTCCTCATGTACGTTTTTATGCAAGTGTGATCCTCAAAAATGTTTGAGAAGATCCAGAAATACAACACAGCAAACACAACGGCAGTCGTCAGCGTACAAAGACGTTGGCATTCGTACCCGCCACGCCGCGATGCTAACCAACAATGAGGACAGCAGTGATGACGATATCATTGATCGGAGAACACTAGAGAAAAGTGATACTGGGGAAGATAGTCACAAGTCGAGTGAAAACGAATATACGGACACTGACCATGAAAACAGTCTTAATGAACTTTATGAACTACCAAAGGCAGATCCAACGAACAGTCAAGATGATGAGGACGATGATTTTAACTCTTTACCTTCTCTTAATCAAGAACATAGTTATGCACGGACATAGATAGCATACTTCTTTTTATTTTTTATCATCATAAGATTTTCTGAACAGTTACAGATAATTTACTATTTGACGGAGTACAGGAACTAAGAAAGCGCAAAAAAAATGAAGCATCAAAGAAAACTGTAAGCGAAACTTATTAAAGAGTTCTTATGAACATACAGTAACCATTAAAAACATAAAGACAATGCTTAGATTAACTAAGGGACGAAGAGAGTCGTCAAAAACGAATTTACGATTTATTTTTTGCTAACAAAGACATCTGCATACAGCGCAAAATAATATAATATGGAACCAGTAGGATTTGCAAATCTGTTGACCAATGAAGTCATCAAGTACGCATTTATGCACTACTTTTGGACTAAATGATTCAAAGCTGCATTTTTTACAATATATGTCTATCCTTAGAAGAAATCGTTTGCGCTTTACTTCGACTGATTTCTATCTGCCGAAAAAAAGTTGTAGGCAAACGTCGGAGCGATGACTCATTATGTGCTTTGGCCGTTAGACCATGTATCTTTTTTGTTATTGTCACGTGTTTGCACTCTGTGACACTAAATTCTGGACAAATGTTTTTATTTGTACATATAAGAAGGAAGAGAAAGAGAATAATATAGAATAAACTCTTTTACATATAGGCAGTCGCAGAATTCATGCACCATGGATTTTTTAAAAAAAGAAATGAAATTTTTACACTGATTAGGTCATATTTGTACTACTCCTACGACTCATTCAAATATTACACACACAACACGTGGTGGAGAAAGAAATAGACTAAAACAAAGTTTTGGTCCTATTTCTTAGGAATTTAGGGAAAGGTGTAAAGGAAGGGTTTTCCTTCTTTCTTCGAGTTTTGCCAAATTTTCGCAAAAGATTTTTTTTAAAAAATATGTTTCAGAAGAGTGTCGAGTCAGGACATGAAATGTATCATGAAATGGACGCCTCGACCAGAGCCCGGGATTATTGTGTTATCGGGGTGCACTGGGTACGATTTTTGAACGTGGACGTCACGTATCGTCCTCGGGCCAGGAAAAGCCTTCGGGCGACGGAGGTTAGTCACATGACAATCTAAGTTCATGTAGCTAACGACGGACTCAAAAATATAGCGCAGTTTGGTGATGAAATACTCGAGAGTTTGACAAAACTAGAGAAAAAGGACTAAAAATGTCTTGCTGACTCACCAGTGGCATTCTATTGGTGAAACTCTGGTGAGGAAAAAGCCACCGAAAAACATTCTTCGGATCCAAAAATAAAGAAAATAAATTTGAATAGCAAAATAAATTTTATTTTTCAAAAAGAAAAGCCTTTTATACGTTTTTCACCTTCTAGCACACCTAAGCCCCTAGAGATCTCCTAGAAATTCTGAGATCACTTCCATGGAATTGTTCGTCGTTTTAAATCTATTCTAGCCTATTTCTACGAATTTTGAGCGAAAAATGCATTTTTTATTCGAAAATCACCTGGTCAGTTTTGACATGTTCCTATAGCAGACTTACTTTCTCAGCCCAGGAAACGAATATAAAAGAAAGCGGTGTGAATTTGTGTAGCTCGTCGAACGACGGTTGTAATGACGTAAGAATGAAGGCGCTAGCTATTAACACAAAACACTAGATAGGTTTGTAAAATTAGGTTATGAAAATTGAGCAGTACTCTTGAAAACATTTCCGTAGCGAACATATAATATGTCGCATATTATATGTGGATGAGCTCTGGACAACATGTCTAGACATATCTAACTAAGAAGAATCCAAATATCATATCTGCGAGAGCGGAAAGTGAAATAAATAAATCGGTCCTGCTTTATGGACCGGTCGTTATGTGAAACAAACTACTTCGCGATTGCGGTACCATTATGTTTATTCTCGACACTAACACTTTTCGATCGTTCGAAAAAGACTGTTCATTCTTTTTTCACAGAATCATGTGTATCTGTAGTGGACAGAATAACGGCGATGTACACAAAGAAAGAAACGTTTTACATACCTGGTTCTATAAATATTAGTTTTGCGTTCGCGGTTACATGCTTTGGTAAATATATATCTGGGCTATTTAAACACTTGAAATAAGAGTGTGATTTATTAAAGCCAACATACATGACATTTTCTTCCGTTTCATGAGGACTACACATAGTAGAACGCACCAAAGAGGAAATACATTGACTGAATAAATCACACACCCTTATTTCAAGTATCAACATATATGACATATTATTCTGTTTACACATTAATCTTGTCGTTGACGTGGGAACAAAAACAGGCTCTTCCACAACAACGACCATCACAACCACAAAGAAATTTCCACTTTACATGTATTTCCTCTTTGGTGCGTTCTACTATGTGTAATCCTCATGAAACGGAAGAACATGTCACG